GCAGAAAATAGCTGAGTGGCCTGAAGTTCTAATTAAAGGGTCTAATTTCCATTTCTAAGGTGGATTTGCCTCAGACCGAAGAGATGGTCGATACATATACTTCCTCCACTCCTTGTTGATGCAATGCTTGAGGTATATGCCAGTTTTAACAAAACTCTTTTCCATTTGTTCTCACCTTTTTGCATTGTGAGGCAAAACCTGCATTAGAACTAGTGGCTTTAAAACCTTATCTTCAGAGCCACTAATCCTCTGTAGCAAGCAGGGAGTTCGGGGCCTACAGCAGGAACCTTTGGGAGGCAGGGGATAGCAGGAGTATAATATGGGGAAGGAATTTAAGAGCTGACCTTCATCATCCTTCAGCCCCAGACTTCCTGGATTTGAAATCCAGAACAGCTTTGGCAAGCAAACTGAGTCAAGAATCAGCTCTTCAGATTGGGAGCCACCAAAAGTCGGAGGTGATGTTTAGGAAAGGGAACAGAAACCTTCAGTCTTGATAAAAACTGACTCTCCACAGGTGGTGAAACCAAGTCCTCTAATTTGAAGCTGACCTGGGTCTCCCATCCTTGGTTATTTTCAAGATTTTCTGTAGTTTTGCTCTGTGGCTGTTGTTTAACGTCGATTCTTTTCAAATTAATTAGTCGAGAAACTAACAAAGTCACCCTCACGGAGCATCTCTGTGAAACAATGGGATAGAAGAGTTGTGCCGAATGACTCCTGGTGCTTGCTGATGTTATTTGTCCGGTAGATATTTCACAAAGAATAAAATGTGCCGTGTCCTGATACCATCTCTCTCTAATGTAGTACAGCCTGCCTTGGATCTGTACTTCACAAGGGAAAAAGGAAATGTTTTTAACAACCTCTTAGGAAAAAACAAACAAACAAACAAACAAACAAGCAACCCCTTAGTCTATTCCAAATTCAGTGCAAAATAGTGGCTGCTGCCTCCTTTTTCTGTGCCAAGTGGCTGGGTTGTACCCTATGAAGCGGCCAAGAAGAGCGAGAACCCAGCAGGAGAAAATATGATCTTGTACTTACTTGTGCCTTTCTTTTCCCAGTCCAGTCATAAAAGATTTATTTGACCTGCACATATAGGGTTTGAAAAAAGAGGGGACTATGCAGAGAAAAACTAAAGGGGGAAGTATTAATTCCAAAGGACTCTATGTGGGGGTCACTGTGTGCTTATTGGCAGGAATAACCTGTGCTGCGTGGCATATGCTACAAAGAGAGTCTTTCAGTGCCGGATCCACGTATCACCTCCGCTGTGGATGTAATGAGCAGGAAAGCATTCTGTACTATTTAGGGGTTGAGTAAGTGCGAGCAATTGTACTTGGATTGTTCCTGCAATGGGTACATAGATTCCTCATCATATTCTACATGGGAATTAGAGGTAGGAGCTCTACATATAATCCAGACAATCACAGGCAGTAAAATCTTAAAATAGACTTCTTTTTAAAGTCTAGAGGATGGGGGCTGGGGCTTTAGCTCAGCAGCACACTGCCTGCCTGGTAAGCACAAGGTCATGAGTTCGATTCTTGGTACTGGAAGAAAACCAAACCAAAAAAACCCTAAAGTCTAGAGGTTTAGCTCTTATTTCTAAGTCTACAGTTTATTCCCATTAGGGTTCAGTTAGGACTAAGATGAAAGAAAAATCTCTCTACAGCAGCCAGTTTACCTTCCCTGCAGGTGTTCTACAAATGCATTTGCTGAACCAATGAAAGGATGAAAACATTCACCTTTTTTCTAAGCCATAGTTCTAATAAGTGTGATACTCAGAGCAATTCAATACTATAGTGTATGTTTGTACTAACACTTTGACCCATTAGAGGAAAAGCTTTGGAAGAAATTTTGGCTAATTCAATTCCAAGTTATGGGTTATCTTTTCCTTGATACATGGCTTCCTTCTTCTAGTGATTGTTTGACCCTTTAATTTATTTCTATCCCATTAGGAAATAATGCTTATATCCTACCATTCAGGAATGAGATAGAGTGATATCCCACATGCATTTAATGGCCTTGTGGCTTTGGCATCTACCTCCTATGAAGATGCCTGAGGGTCTGTGAGTGACAACCATTTAGTCTGACCACAAGAGGAAAGGCCCCGTGGGATGAAGGGCAGGCAACAGGCGGCCATACCCTTCTCAGTGACTTTTGAAAGATGTGTTGAATCATCAGTTGAAATTTAGAATAACACCCAGCAAATACTTCCTGGGCACCTATTGTGTGCCTACCGTCATACCCTAGTTACTTTCACGTTTTTCTTGTTTAATTTTAATTCTCAAAACAACAAACATAACATGTATTAAGATCACAATGGGTTAACATGAAAACAAAATGGAGCTCAACTTACAGGCACGAAAAAGCTCTTCAGCCTTGTTTATTCCTTCCCCCTTCATGGTAGAGTCTTAAGGATTATTTTAAAGGAAGAAAGGAGAGAAAAACCCGTTGCTTGGATGGTTCTTCTATTTCTTCCTTTAATGTAGCTCAGTATTTCTCAATCCTAAATGTGACTGTATGTTAGTATAAGCACTAAGTCACTTGTCTTAATACTTTAAGGACAATACAAATGAGCTCAGTTTGGTTTTCAGGGAGTTCAGATTCTTGTTTTAGGCATTGACTTGATAGCCCTCAAATAGCAAGAAGCTCTACTTTATTTAAGATATGTAGTGCAACTTTTAAAATGTAAAGTGAAATTCTAAAAACAATGGTTATTGCCACACAGGGTTTCCATGAGTGATAGAAAGACCCAGAGAATTGTCCATTGTCTTTTTCAGCATCAGTATCTCGTTGAATTTGGCACTGCCAATGACAAGAAAGAAACAGGATCAAATAAGAAGGAATTCTTCAGGTTCAAAGTTTCTTTAAAAAGCTTCCTTTCCTTCCAGGAAGGTGAGAGAACATTTTCTCTCCATCCTTCTCTGTCTCAACCTTTCAACTTTTTTCTATATTTTTTCTCACTGATAAGAAGGAAGAACAGACACTTTCTTACAAAAGTAACTCTTAAAACACTACTTTTTCAACCCAGGATACTAAGCTTTTCTGAAATAACTCTTCTTTATTCTCATTCCCACAGTAATTCTTTGCCACATGATACCATAACCTAGGGTTTAAAAACACATGCCTCCTGGTCAAGTTGGGAGTAAGTCCCAAATTTGCCAGTTACAGCTGGGACTTTGCACAGCCAATTTCAACCTCTGTGACTCTTTTCCCCCATTAGTAGAGCAGGAATAATTTCTTTCTCCCTCCCAGGACTGTTAAAAATAACATGCTAAGGGCGCAGCAGGCTCTCCAAAGCGTTTGTTGACTGAGTGAGGAGTAGTTGTGTGACACACAGTGTGGAAACAATCAGATGGTCCATGCTCTCTCAGCTGCGGTCACCACTCCCTCAGAGCTGCTAAATAAATAAGAATGGTTTTATTTTAAATATGCTAAGGAAGTAGAAGGAAGAAACTTGGGAGATATGCGCACATTGGCAGTAGAACAGAATATCAATATATGCTAAAAAAAAAGCACCGAGAGACTTCATTTGTAAATTTCAGTTTTGTGCAGTTTCAGTTCCACCAGTGAAACTCATCCCCTAGGGCAGCCTGCAGATGTCAGGAATACGGGTGCGTTCACACATCCCTGTGGCTGGAGCCTCTATATCCACTAAACTGGATTCCCTGAATGTCAGCTCAGCCTTGCTCTCCCAGCCTCCCTCAGGCTTCAGTGGTACCAGACCCATCAACCCATCTGTTCTCATCTCCCACATCTGGGATCTCCGGAGTCTTCTGTGGGGTCCTCCTTCTACATTCTGGGAGCCCCTGCCAAGCTCAGTGGATCCAACTCAACAGTGTAGGAAAGCTGGCCTTCAAGGCCCCGCATGACTAAATGGCAAGACCGTTCTCTAGACTGGCGTGGAACTATCATCAAGGTGGCTTCTTCCCATGGTGCTGAAGGTCAATGTGCAAGACCTGTCTTGCTGTTTAGCTTTTCTTTGACTCACCTGCTCTGCATGCCAAATGTCAGAGATCAGGAGACCTATGAAGATCATTGCACTCTGCTTTCTCCTTCACCCAATGTTATCATGGACCTGTCTTCCTGCCTTTACATCATATATAGCTCCATTCTAATGCAAAGAAGTGTTAATGGGCAGTGGATAATCCCTATCCTCTATGCTAACTCTATAAGCTTAATATCCTGTGCTGAGTAGTTGATCCGCTAATACCAGCAAGAAGTAAAATAATGTAAAAACTTCTCTCAAGACAGTGTCTTGGTTGGCAAGGCTACATTTTTTCTGCATAATCTTATTTTGCATGTCAGAAATTAAATATTGCCTTGGTGTTTCTCTTTGTACTGCTTTAGAACTCAGTTCTAATCTCTGTAGGCAGATGGATGGCTTGGATCAAGTTGAAGAAGGTCTTATATTTGAAAAGACAAGGAAGAAATGCACATTATAATGTTTTGAATATTTCCCTATAGCATTTTAGGATCAAAATGTAGTTTATTAGGAAATGTCCTTCTAAGACCATGACAAAGATGTTCAGGTCACAAAGGGTTTCACAATATTTTTAAATAACTCATCTAAGCTGAGGATTTAGCTCTGTGGCAAAAGCGCCTGCCTGGCAAGTGCAAGGTCCTGAGTTTGATTCCCAGTACCAAAATAAATAAATGCATAAATAAATAACACTCATCTCTTATTTGCATATACCATAATATAAACCAAAACTCGGCAAATTCCACACATTTAGAACTGTTTGTGTTATACAGAGACATTCTCAGTTTGAACTACCTTGGTAATTTTATGGTGTTGGCACTTATTTATGCTGTCCTAACCTGTGATCGGTTTCCCCAAATGGAATCTTAAAATTCCACAGCTGTTTTCTAAGACTCAGATAGTTGATTTTTGTTGTGTTCACGTTAATAAACTGAATGGCCCAGTTTACTTGCTAGTGTTCCATGTACACACTGATGTAGATTTTAAATTAGAAAAGCAAGAACTGAAAGTATATTTTCTTTGGCAGGCATTTGATGTCCTTGGAAGAGTTGAAGCTTACCTTAAGCTCCTTAAATCAGAGGGTTTAAGTCTGCCTGTCTTAGCAGCGAGGCAGGAGGAATTACACAGAGAAATTAAAGAGTGCACAGCCGATGTTTTGCAAAAGGGACAAGCCTTAATCAGCCAGGTAGACACCTGCAGGTGAGTAGAGTCCATTTCATCCTCAGTGTAACAAGCTCCTTTGCAGTTTCCACAGCCTGTTAAAAAAAAAAAGTTGCATGATTTTTTTTTTTTTGCTTTCGATGTTTTGCTACATTATGATATGGCTTAAAAGGACCTATTGAATCTTGGGGAACAGTCATTCTGAACACAGCGTTGCTCATCCAGAAGTGAGGCCATATTCTAAGCCTGTGGACTTAACATTGCAAAAGTTTTCTCTCTGCACGTTTCTGAGGAGGAGCAAGGGAACAGGCAAAGCAAGAAACAGAGCTGTCATTCTCAAGCTTTTCGTATCCTAGCACCCTCATAATGTCCCTTCCTCTGTTTAGTTCATGAGCTCCGAGTCTGTCCTGCCCATTTTTTCCTTTCTGGGAAAAAAAAAATAAGTACCCAAATTCATAACCTTGGGGTTCGCTGAGGAAAACCCCAAGTAACAGATGGGCGCTGAATAACAGCAGCTCACATTTATTGAGAGCCTGCGATGTGCCAGGCTCAGAGCCAATAGCTTTAGGGGCGTTATCTCAGTAATCCTCCCCGCAACTCTACAAAGCACATAGTGATAATGTTTTTCTTTTACAGAAAAGGTAACAGACACAGAGAGCTTAAGTCACTTGCAAAAAGGTCACATAGGGGGTTCGTGACAGAGCCAGACTTTGAATTCTAAGCACGGGCCGCACACTCCACACCCTCACACAGCAAGCACAGTGGTGGGTTCATGTCTGTGAGTGCATTTGGTGAATTAGAGTTGGGTGGGAGTGAGGGGGAAAAGAGCAGTGAGAGTGAGAGGGGAACATGTGGAGGAGAACAGGGATTGGAAGACAAAGGGGAGATGACAGAGGGCGTCATGGAACAGGCATTGACTCTGACGTGATGATGCCAGGCTTACATGCTGACAGAGACTGACTTAACAGATCTGTATGAATGGGCTCCACCCAGTATTTCTCCTCCCTTGTCTATATTCTTGAGACTCAAAGACATGTACTTTGAGGAATAATGACGTTGTTGGGATGTGGTAAAAATTATTTGCTTTCTATTTTGCTCTATTTTAGATATGTCTAAAAGTATTGATTCAGAAGTCCAGGTTTAGGGAATTTTCTTTTCAGAAAACAGTCTCAATCTTGATGCAGAGATTTAATCCAGGGTTTTGATGGTTGCCATAGTATCATGCGATGCTAAGGTTAGAAATAATCCTGGGTCTTCCAGCAAGAGCCAAAAGGATGAGGCTGTGAGCAGGACAAGTAACTCTCCCCTTTGAAAAACTACCAATGACAGCTGTAGCTGCTAAGTGCCTTAGCTTTGACCCCAAGCCACACGGCAAGTGGTGGTGGAATCTGTTAGACTCTAGGATCTCCATACACCCCCATCTGGGCCAAGCAGACACACAGGACCTCCTGCAGCTCAGGCTTAGCCATTTTTCTAGAATGTGTAAATATCGTGGGCCACGCAGAAGGCAGTCTTGAGGCAGAATAGGCACAAACTGTGCCTCCACTCAGGGTACCCTCGACATCAATCTGAGTCATGTGATGGTCGGATTAAGTGGTGATGTCCGCCCTGATCACCAGAGAGGGATCCCAACTTTGTTTAGTGAGTGGCTCTGAAATCTCAGCAGCTGTTGTTTCCCTGGTCAAGCTGCTCTTTGCCTGTGCTGTTTTCTCTGGCCTTGGGGAGGTTCTTCACACATGGACAGATCAGAATGCAGCCAAAGACCCCTTTCCAGGTCTCTGGACATCTGCTTGAATCCTATTCAGTACTCCACCCAGCAAGTTCTGAGCGCTTGGCTTCTCAGAAGTCTGATGCTTGAGTTTGCAGCTCAGCAGGAGCTCTGGGGTTTTAGGGTTCCACCTGCCTGAGCTCTGCTCTGGGGACAGCCTCCCAGGCAACGAGCTGGTGTGAGCAGGCATTAAGACCGATCTCCTTTCGTTCCCTTCTCTGTGATCCTGTCCTGTGCCACCCGTTGTTCACTCTGAAAATAGTGGTTTCATGCATTTGTCTTTTTCAGCATGAAGGTGAATCCAATCCCTGCTTCTTGGCCTGAAATGAAAGTTTCCGGTCAGTTTTGACACTTCGCTCATAGAGTTAAAAAGGTGGTCACAACTTATGACTGTTCGGCTTTTATCCTCTTTGCACCAATCAGTAGTACTTTATTTTTAATACTTAAGAGATAAGAGAAATGCTTTTATTTTATATATTTTCTGTCTTCTTGTTTTTGTATATGACAGCTTCTAGCCATCCATCTGTGTGGTTGACACATTTGTTTGTTTAGTCTCATTCTTTTATTTTGCTATGCTTTCTCTAGTCTTTATGTTTTACATATTTATTATTTTTTCAAATGGGAATCTTTCATTCTGATTTTCAGGAGACAGACTAGGTCTTCATAGGAAAAGCAAAAATTAGGGCCATTTTTATGAACTTGAATTAATGGTTAAGGGACTGGGTTTAAAAAATTAGCTGTATGATTTCTGTCAGCATCTTAGAAATGTGAGCTCTTCTGGTAATACAAGGTGCTTGGGTGCCCTGAGATGTCATAGTATTTTAGAAATCAGTGCTACTTTCATTGTGCAGGAGGACTGGAAGAGAAAGTGAAATTATTTGTTGGCAAGGGGTATTTTTGACTCAGGAGTTAGATGCAGAATAGAAATCCATTAAAATGGAATTGAAATGCATTAGAATCTCAGTTGCGAACTGCAGTCGCAGGTGGCTACTGACCTCAGTCCCATGCATTACATTTGCATCTGGAACTTGCTGTGCTGTCTCATCTAATGCTCTAGCTGGGCCATGGGCTGCGTCCCCATCAAAGGAAAGAAGCAGAACACAGGAAGGAAATTTCAGGGCGCAGACTCAGAGGTGGAATTTAGAGTTGTGGCAATGGAAGGAAACATAAGTTTCCACAGAGAAATGTGCATGTTGTTGAACACCATGATGGTTTCCTAGACATCTGCATGCCAGTCGCACTACCAGGACCTAAAATAACAAAGTTCCTGTTAGCAGACATTTGAAAACTGGCATGAATAAGAAACTTAAGTCTTTAGGTCAACAGAGCTTTATTTCTTGCAACCTGAAATTTAAAATAGTAATATAACATTTAAACTTAATTTCTGTACACCTCAGTTTCCTCATCTGTGAAATGGACACACACATGCCATAGCTTTAAAAAATTGAATAAAATAGTACCACTCCTTACACATATAGTATGCCTATCAACAATTAGTTAACTTTGTTATGTTCTGTACAAAGAACTTTAAAAACAGAATACTAAGAGCCACATGGCTATTTCAAAAAACTACAACAGAGCAAGCTACACCAAATTGTCATGTTTATTTTAAGTAACTGGGAAGTTCATGATTGAAGTAGAGAAGATAAATACTTATTTTAAGGTGTAATTTAGTATTGGGTCAGGCAGAAATTTCAGAGGTCCCAAAATCTCATTTTTTTCTGTTAGTAATAAAAAGTATGAGCTCAGAAGTTCTGAGCTCTTATTTATCAAGATGAAGATTTCTCAGTAAATCTGAGATCTTTGTCATTACTGTTCTGTAATTACTACCTTATTAGGATAGACCCACATTGTTTTTTCCTGGAATCAATACATTTGAATTTTGAATAACCTCAGAATAAATAGTGGTTTTTTCATTTTCACTTCCTTTTGCTGTGCCTTGTCTACAATCCAATGATAATTCTGAGTCACTGTGAAGTAGGTTTTATCGCTTCAGAGTCTCCCTGTCACACAGCCTAAGTGTGCGAATGGTAAAGATATTTCAATGTATTCCTGGCATTTTGTTATATTGCTACCTATAGCAGCGTGGGACGATGGTCAAACTTCGGCTGTGCTGAGGTTGAAGGCCCCTGGCTTCTGGCCCTCCTCTCTTCCTAGGCCTTGCTTGGCATGATTCTTGAGCACCGACTAACGATAGACCAAAGGTGCCCAGCTACCAAGCAGAGTTCTGCAATTTTAAGCCACAGGAAGCTGCATGATGGAAGTGCTAGGCCTGAGACCCTGTGGGAGGGTAAAGTTTTCCATACTGGGACAAATAGAGGGGCCTCCTTTGTTTTCTCTTAGTACAACTGCCAATTCAGAGCTCACCAATGAACACCCAGCAGGACAAGGCTACCTTGTGAGGTATTCATTTGCCTTTCCTGTTTGTTAAAATTAATTTAGGCTTTATAAATATATGTGTGCAAACTCAATTTTTTTCCCTATATAAAAGATGCTACTGATTTTCATTCCACATTGCCATGGTGGATTTAAATTTGTAACTCTCAACCTGACTGAATAGTTTTCTTCAGAATAACTTTAAGTATTATCTGTTTTGCTTTAGTGCTAGCCGCTTTCTCTTTGTATTTGCATATTTCACAGAGAAATAAAATTTACATACTGCAAATTTAAATTATTCACATACTGAAATTTTCTTTCTTTTACCACTGTTTTCATTTACATTGGCTGCCACTACTTCCCTTGGTTGGTATTATGGATGTGAATGAAATTAGGACAGAACAGGATCTATTAATTCCGTCGATGTCTTTTGTCAGTCAGGTGCTCCCAAGCATCGAGTGCAGTCAGTGAAGTGTTTGTCCTCATGCTGCTTCTATTCTGGTGAGAAGAAAGATCCAACCACCTAAGTGAGATGCAAATGCAAAGTGGGATGGGGTGCACGGTGATTATGAGGAAGGGACTGTTTAGACAGTGGAGTCAAGAAAGCCCGTTTAAGAAGAAGAATACCATGCAGTTGGCCATGGGCTGCGTGGACCTGCAGAGCCACGGCAAGTGTGGTGGAGGAGAGAGCTACAAGGAAGCAAGGGTGTAGGACAGGTCTAGGGAGTGAGTGGAACTCATACTGTTCACAGCCTCATTCACTGGTAGTAATGAGTGCGGTTAATACATTAGCAAGTTTAACCCTCTCCTGCTACGGCCACTATGACAACGATCATTGGCCCTGTTTTGCAGATGAGGAAACTGGGGCACAGAGACATTCAGTAAGCTGCACTCA